GGCAGTAGTAGTAGCAGCAGCTGCAGCAGGAGTCGTAGCAACGGTAGAAGTAGTAGCAGCAGTAGTAGTAGTAGCAGCAGTAGTAGCAGTGGCAACAGCAGCAGCAGCAGCAGTAGTGGCAGCAGCAGCAGCAGTAGCAGCAGCAGCAGCAGCAGTGACAGTAGCAGCAGCAGCAGCAGTACTAGTTGTAGTAGTAGTAGCAGCAGCAGCAGCAGTGGTAGTAGTACTAGAAGTAGGAGTAGTAGTAGTAGTAGTAGTAGCAGCAGCAGCAGCAGCAGCAGAAGCAGCAGCTTAGGGCGAGCTTGCTCGGTGTCTAGGCAGCTCAGCTGCATGCGCAAAGTTCGCTCTTGAGGTGTACAGACACCTCGGGCTCGGGTGTATGGACACCTCTGCTGCTGCTACCTGGACAGCTATCTAGCTAGCCAGCTAGCTAGCTAGTCAGCTAGCCAGCTAGTCGGCTAGCTAGCTAGTCAGCCAACTAGCTAGCCAGTTAGCTAACCAGCTAGCTAGCCAGCCAGCTAGCTAGCCAGCCAGCTAGCTAGCCAGCCAGCTAGCTATTTATTCCGCTAGCTAGCCAGCCAGCTAGCTAGCGGAATAAATGCATGGCTAGCTAGCTAGAGAGCTGGTTGGGGGCCTCGCTAGCTAGCTAGCTAGCTATACGCAGAGAGACAGTCAGCTGCCTGCAAGCACTAGCCAGCTATCTGTTTAGCTAGCTGGCTAGCTGGCTAGCTAGCCAGATGACTATGCACCTAACTAGCTGTATAGCTAGCTAGTTGGGTTTCCAGCTAGCTAACCAGCTAGCCATACTGCTACGTATGTAGCTAGCCAGGTGGCTAGCCAGCTAGCCACCCAGATAGCCAGCTAGCCACCCAGCAAGCCAGCCAACCAGCTAGCCACGTAGTTAAGTTAGTCAGCCACCCAGCAAGCTAGCTAGCCAGCTAGCCAGCCGGATAGCTAGCTGGCCAGCTAGCGAGCCAGCCAGCTAGCTCGCCAGCTAGCCAGCCAGCTAGCCAGCCAGCTAGCTAGCCAGCCAGCCAGCTAGCTAGCCAGCCAGCCAGCTAGCTAGTCAGCCAGCCAGCTAGCCAGCCAGCTAGCCAGCTAGCCAGCTAGCTAGCCAGCTAGCCAGCCAGCTAGCTAGCTAGCTACCTAGCTAGCTAGCTAGCTGTTGTGTTTGTTGTTTGATCAGGAAGACACAGAGCTTTGATTTGCACGGACGTGGCGGCGAGGGGAATTGACGTCGGCACTGTAGACTTGGTGCTGCTGCAGCAGCAAATAAATAAAATAAATTTAATTGAGTTAATTTAATTATTTTATTCTTAATTTAATTCTTTTCTTTGATTTAATTCTCTTCGTTAAATCAATTAAATCATTCTCCATTTTCTTGTTTTCTTTTCGCCTTTTCTGAAGTTGTTGCCAACTTGTTGAACTGTGCTGCTACTGCTGCTGTTGCTGCTGCTGCTGCTGCTGCTGCTGATCATGATGGATGATGATGATGATGGTGGTAATGATGCTGCTGCTGCTGTTGCATGGTAATGAAGCTGCTGCTGCTGCTGACCATGTTGCTGTTGCTGCTGCTGCTGCTGCTGCTGACCATGTTGCTCTTGCTGCTGCTGCTGCTGCTGCTGCTGCAGGTGGTGCACTGCGGGTTGGCCCACGACAGCGAGGTGTATATACACCGCAGCGGCCGCACGGGGCGGGCCGGCCGCCAGGGGCTTTCGCTGCTGCTGCACTCGCCGCAGCAGCAGCAGCAAGTGAGG